CATCAGAAGGTATATTGCTGTTCAATCTGGGACTATACCTCCTTGACGTACGTAGATAAACTACCATGGAATTGGACATCCGACTTTGGTGCCGCACTCGTATCTGTACAACATGCAGATACAGATGGTAACTCCACATTCGTTGGCATGTGCGGAGTTTGCGGTATATACCGTCTGCAAGCATTCAACACATCTATTCTTTTTACAGCCAAGCAGGGGCCTATCGGGTTGCCCCCTCCCCAGAGAGGGAAACCAGGTGGGCCCCCGAGTCCCTGTTTTTAAAGCCCTTGTTTGAGAACAGGCCAATATTATTAAACACGCGCGTTGTGTTAACACATTGGCGTTGTTTTAAAACATTGGCTTTCAAACAAGGATATAATATCCTATAGGCGGATTAGAAGCCTGTAAGTAGGCTCTCCTCATACCCAAAACCAAAAAACAAAAAAAACAAAAAAAAACAACAACAAAACGCACAGTATGGAACAGATAGGGCTGGATTTTTTTTGTTTTCTTGACTTTTGGTTATTTTGGTAGGGATAAATTTCCACATTGCTATGCGTCACGCGCTCCTAGTATATCTACTGTCTCTTAATCTGCTGTCTCTTCCTATCATAAGTTGAGAACCCTTGCCCCCACATATCTGCTTGTCTAGGGTCACTACAATGACTAGATTAGACATATAGAGAAGTGTGGGTCAATAGGCGGGGTACCATATATATATATGTGTGTGTGTGTATGTATGTATGTCGATATATGTATATATGTCTATATATCTGTATATGTATAGACATATCTAAGCACGGTGGCTTATGCTAACCGTTGATGTCAGGCAATTCCGTACGGTTGGTTTTCTGGAATCCCTACCATGGCTCAGAGAACTACCTCTGTGTACTCTCCAAGGCAGCTGATGTTTTGGGCTGACCTTCCTTTACAAACAGGAACCACGTAATCCTAAAACAGATTTGATTTACATTGGACAACCTAAACCCTAAACTGTAGGCAGCCGAACACTATCAGCACCTACACCCTGAGTGTCAGAGCCGGCGCTGTGCCGCAATGCGGAAGTCAAAGGGAGGTCCCTCTAGAGCAGAGAGAAGCCTGGAATTTAAAGTAACAGCCCCTATAGACCCTAAACCCTAGACCAGTAACACCAAGCAGGGACAGGAAGAGCATGAACTGCGAAATCGTGTCAGTTGCAAACATAGCAGCTTAGCAGTGGTAAAGGTTGTAACGCTCCACTTCGTCCAGGCTTCTCTTCACCAGCTTTTGTCGGAAAGAGATCTCCCGCCCCAGAAGGGACAGAAACTACCTTACCGAGTACTTGCCTAGCTGCGCGGCCACTTCTAGCAGCCTCGCATCAACGAGTATAAGCTCGCATGCCCTTACATGAGTGAGACACGGGCACTGCGACAGATGCGGGGCATCCGGCATCAAATTCGAAGGGCAGCACTGTCCTAAAGACAAAGAAGCTGAAAGCTGCCCTGAACTGCCTAAACCCACCTGAACCCTAAAAAAAAACGTACATTCCCAACTCCAACCCCCAAACCCTAAACTCCAAGCCGTAAAAGTCAGTGTGGAACCATCGCAACCTCTTACTTGGGGGGGGGTCTTGGTAAAAGGTTTTTACATAATTTAAGCTACCATAATAAAGAAACCATATTATTCACCATAGATGCCTGTTCTGGTAATGTAAACTAAACCCCTCAACAAGAACCCCCTTGCAAAGATCGTTCAGGACCCCCAAAACGGAGCCGACTCTAACTATACCCCTGATACGGATCGGGCAGACTTCTCACCGATCAAGGTGCAAGGCGCAAGGAAGGCACTAGTTTCTGGAAGGCGTCTTTCGCACCTCGCGCTCCGGGTTTTAGGTCCCGGACTTTTTTTTATGGCTCTGTAAGGGCTCTTCCAGGGTGTGTAAGACATGGCGGCTTGCCGTTTGGTTACGGAGGCTCTGCGGCTCGTCAAACTACAATATAAGATGGGCAGTGCTCTATAGTAGGGTCCGGCTTTTGGGGTCCTTCTTGTAAGGGTTCCGTACGAAATTGGCGACCTACGAACGGAACCTTACTTTAGAGAACTTTGATTATGGGGTCGTTGCAAAATGGTACCCAGGGGTTTGCAAGTCATTCTTAGAGTTGTTCAGACCCTCGAGCTCAATACCAGCTACTTGAGAAAACCCTGTACCTGAGGCGTATATCTCGAATCATGCTACTATTTCCTCCATACTTCCGCGGAAGCTTTGAATTACGAAAAGTGTGTCTGTGTGTGTGTGTGTAAGATTCCTGGCCCAGAACTTCTTATCCAGATCATGGTTGATGTTACGTATCAATCTTCGTGCTGCCTCGAAAGTTCAAACGAAAGGTTGAAATCTTGCACAATTCGTGATGTGTGCAAGTTTTGAGTTGGGACTTGTGGCTAATAACAACATCTTCAAAGGGTGATGCGAAAGCTTAGTTTAGTATAGTGGCGTAGGGTTTGCCGGTTTGCCAGCAGGCTCCTGTGCACGCATGATCGGGCGTAACTCGGTTGGGCTTGAATCCCCTGCAAGCCTTGTACTGACTGATCTGTAGTCCTCCCCTCGACCCTGAACCGTAGAAAGCTCCTGACAGTTTGCGGCGTGTGGTTTGGTTTGGACCCAAAACGATCTGCAGACCCTAAACCCTGAACCCAAACAGCAGCCTTGGAGTCCTTGGGATCGACTTCTTGTGGGTTTTGATGGTCCCAAATTTTCAAGTCCCGGAAAGACGGAAAAAAAGGTCGGAAATAGCACCAACCCTTTGCTTGAAAATCAAGCGACACCAAAAGCTTCGCTTCGAAGAAAATCTGCCTCGAGATGCACAGAAACACCCCCAAGTCCAACCCTCACCGTCTACCCAGTTAGGGTTTGGGCTTTAGGGGGGCGGGGGGGTCCGTAAAGCAGAACGGTACTGCCCTGAAGTAGGCTCTTGACTAGGCCTCTGCCCTGAAGTCTGACAGCTTTCGCCTCAAGTCTCACACCTGGTATTAAACTTAGTGGGTCAGGGGGCATACCTCAAACAGGGTTCAGGGTTGGGGATTCAGGGGGCATAATACCTCAGGACCTAGGGCGTAGACATGTAAACCCAAACAAGTTACCCATCTCGCTCCTGCTTTGTAAGTTAGGTTCCCCGAAGTTAACTTCAGGTTCCCCAAACCCTGCCGAGAGCTGGGGCCGGTACGTGGATGGCGGCTTTTGTCCGGATGGACCAAGAGCGCAAGCTGCTTCAAACCCATCTGCTGACCTGACAGAATCTTTACAGGGATTTGTGCATGCTTGCGGGCCGGCTTTATAAGAGATCCGAAAGCCTTTCTACGGTCTGTCTCGAGGTTTCCGTTCGAGGTTTCCGGGCTTCGGGCCATGGGTGTGGTTGTTGCAGGACGAAATTTGGGACATCCCGGCCACGACCCTCCTCCTCCCCCTTCTCATCATCACGGGCCTCCTCGTCCTGCTCATCAGCATCAACATCACCATCATCATCAAAGCAGTGGTGACCATGAGGCTGCTCACCGCCGGCTGCCAAACAACTACTCCTCATCATACTCATCTGCATCATAACCTTCATAATCCACGTCACGCTGCGGCTGTCAGTTTGAGGCAGCCGCCAGTGTCAAGTATGCTCCGATTCACTAGGGGCCCAAAGATAGGGATCTTCCACTCAACACACACGCACACGCACACGCACACAGACAGACACAGAGAGAGAGAGAGAGAGAGAGAGAGAGACAGAGAGAGAGACAGAGAGCGACCCGAATCCCTGAAGCCTTTTAGCTGCCTTCTTCGGCCCTTGAACCTGCGGTACTTGGTGTTTCCGAGGCCTTGGAAATCATAGAGCATGGCGCGCAGCCCTGCCGGTGTCTTCGGAATCCTGACCTGTGCTCCAGAGCTTGAGAGGCTATAGGGTTTAGTTTAGGGTCGCTCCGCTCGTCTTTATTCCGTGGCGCGGCTCCAACTAGCAATAACAACAACAGCAGCCAAGAACACTCCATGCTAAGGCTACTCCCTTTGAGGCATGATCGATATCCAAAGCATCACCATCCCCCCAACCGTAGAACCCAGGACTCCGAGAAAATGACCCAGATCCCTATAAGATTATGAGCCTAAACTCCTAAAGCCTCAAAAGGCCTGCAGCTTGGGTTTTGGGGTCTGTCTGTCTGTCTGGGGGGCTATTGGAATTTGGGATGATGCGGAAACGCCCTTAAATTAAAGCGCGAATTTCGGGACCCGGGCTCAAGCCGTGATTTGAGAGCTTACTGGCCCCCTTAGGGATTAGTGTTGGGGCTTCGGGTTCAGGGTTTCGAGTTTGGGATTTCTCTCGGGATGTAATTAGGGTTGAGGGTTGAGGGTTCGGGATTGATTGCCACGGCAAAACTATGCGGCAGGACTGAATCGTCAGACATTTCGACAGCTCAACGGTGAAGTCCATTGATAGACTCGTCCTGTAGCCAGAACAACTATGTATCAACGGGTGTCCTTGGTCTCGCGCGCTTTGACACCTGAAGGGGGGCATGTCCTACTCGCTCAAGCTGTGCGATAATTCTTCACGGAACTGCTCCTGAATTCTGCCTGAGATGCATCCACAGACCTCTACTCCAAATCTCCCCACGGCCGCTACGATGTCAACAGCATGCCGGACAAAATGTCATCACGATCACTGCTGGACGATGGGCTGGCTGCTGCAGCTACAGAGAAAGGAACAGGGCCATGATGATTGCTACATTCATCCGATCAGGTGGACGTGTTGCATTGAAATCAGGTTACTGACTGCGACCAATGCCAATGACTTAACTTAAGGTTTTGGTGCATTTGCACCCTTGTTGGCGTCAATTCGTAGCATCCTGTCAGCGAGTTCGCGGTTGAAGTTGCAGGAAGGGTGCTACTCCGCACAGCAACCAAACTCCGACAGGTAAACGTCTGACGTCTGCTTGACAAACGCGGTACTATATTATAGCATTATAGTAGATGATGCTATATAATACGAAATCTTGCTCTATTAACATATTCGTTTATAATCGTAGATTTTACATCATATCGCACTTTCTGCTAGCCGGAAGCAGCCTTCCGGGGATTGCGTCATGGCTGAGAGAACAGGCCCCGCCGCGGAACCCAGGCACAGCGACAGATGCACAGCCAGCGCCTGCTGCTGGGAGGTTTCGGGGCTTGAGGGTTTGAGGGTTTAGGGCTTAGGGTTTGAGGGTTTAGGGCTTTAGGGTTTCAGCCACTCACACTCGGACTTGCCTAGGCGAGGTTAGGGTTTAGGGGAAGGCGGGATTTGGGGTTCAGGGTTTCGTGTTTCGGCGCCCACACTCAGACAATCCAGGCGAGGCTAGTTTACCCTAAACTGGCCCTAAACCCTAAACCCCTAAACCCTTTTAAACCCCTAAACCCTAAACCGCTAAACCCCTAAAACCTAGGGATTGGAGGCAAAATAGGATTCGGGGTTTAGACTGTCAGATTTCGGGTCGAAATCTGGAGCTGCTAGAGTAAGGTGCATATGATGAACAGGGTTTAGGGTTCATTACGGACACATCGGACGAGTTCGCCGATTCTCCCCCCGCGGCCTGAATGGAGGGTTTAGGGTTTAGGGAATATGATGCACACTTCATGGTATGCGCGTATGTAGTAATCTTGCCTGCGCGCATGTGTATATATGTGCATGTGCGTGTGTGTATATATATATATGTATATATATATATAACACGTATGTATACACATATAAACAGTATGTACGTACGGAGGGAGGTAGGTATGTATTGCTAAGTTGTCATAATCAAATAAATAAATAAACAAATAAATATACAAAACTTCATAAATACATCGATAAATATACAAATATAAATATAAATATAAATATTAATATAAATATAAATGTATGTATATAAAATTCTATATATATATATATGTGAGTGTGCATGTATACGCACCAGCAGAATCGACAAAGAGAGCGAGAAGAACTCCAAACGTGGCCATTATGCCACTCCAAACAGCCAAGTATTTCCGCATTCAGTGGTTAACCAGCCGAGTTGCACCATCTACCCGAATCCCCCCCCAAAAGTCAACTCTAAAGACCAGATGCCTCCGGACCCTTCTCTTCTAAACCCCTTGTCATTTCATGCTTTAGCAACTGCAGTGAAACGAATCAGGAAAACATGCCATCTTCTGCAGAGTAAGCTGAGCTCTAAGTGAAACCCAGAGCCTTTTCGATCGAGCCGCAAACTCCTGCGAGGCAAGCCCGGCCATGACACATGGAGATCAGGCGTTCCCATACCCCGAACCCTGTGCATCGCAGAAATGTATCAATGCAGGTACAGCGTTCCTTTCGGCCACGACGTGGAGCATGACATGCTGTGATTTGGACGAGAAGACTCCAGACATGCGAGCTGTCGTAGCCAAACTTTGCCTTGTGCAAGGTCTTCTTGCGCTGTTTTCGCAGCTTCCAGGGCCTCGGTGCATGCAAAAAGGATGCAGAGGTCTGATGTCCCTCAAACATAAGCCCTTATCAGCTATTTCCCGTGTTCTGGCCTCGGACTATTGAAGGCATCCACGCCCCTCATTTGACTGCGGACTCTGTATTGAGTCGCTTAACAGGGGCTTAATCTCGTGAGATACGAAGCAGAGACCGAACCTCCATAGAAATTAGCGGCAACTAGCCAGTCAATGATTCTTGGGCACGAGTTCGACATCCCGCAATTAGAACTGCAGATTTCGACTCTCGCGCTCGCTCAAGACAGATAAGGCTTCAGGGCGACTGCGCATTTAGATGAACTGCCCATCCAGGCAAAACCCGATTCCTTTTAGCATTCGATTAAATTACGTTGTATGATGCCGTATTTTGCTAAACTGTACTGTCATATATTATGTCTTTTACGGTATATTACATCATAATCGGTTATATTATACCGCTAACCGTCCAAGCCAGGCTACCGCCTCCAGCTGTGGCTGTGCAAGGCGGATGCCCGGCGGTGGTGCAGGCTTGGTCACCTCCTGCTGCAAAAGAAACAAAAAAGGTTGTCATGAGAATAGAACGCCGCTATTTTGCCATGAGAATAGAACGCCATCGCCGCCAATGCTACCTTCGGGCAACCCTGACCATGCAGCTCAAACCTCAGCACAATTTCGGCCTGCATGAGTGGCTGCGCATCTTTCGATGTTTGTAAAAAAGATATAATATCAAACGATGGCATATGGGGTAACACAGTAAGACATAACATAATAAACATCAGTTTAATCTATTATGTTGTATCATAGTGTAAAAAACATAATGTAGTACAGCACGGTAAAATAAGATATCATACATCATAGTAGACTATAACCCAACATAGCATTACATAACATGAGTTAATGTAATTTAGCAGAATCTCATAAAACAAAGAATGTTAGATTATCATGTATTTGACGAAAGTATTCGAAAATAGAATGGACTGGAAAGTAATAAGTTTTATCATATAACATCATATTATAAAATACATCCATATAATCGAATACAAAAATGCAGTATAGTACAATGTAGTGGAATATGACAGAGTGTGAGGCAAGATTGTGTGCATATGGTAGGAGAAGATAGGAATAAAATAGGATGTAAAAAACAAGTGCATATGACAGCTACTAAGTAACATTCGGTAATGAAGTGCAAGAACATAGTATAAAATACAGCCTAATGTGATGTAAAGTACCATATTATCGAATTTTTTGAAGCAATGGACCTGGTGAATGCCAGCTGTCGCTTGTCGCCAACGCACCATACCATAGCATTGTAAACTATTGTATAACATCATATGACATAATTAATATGATATAAAAGAAAACCAAAGCACATATAACATAAGGTGATTTAACCAAACGAGGGATGAAACTACTTGCCACCCACTATAGTACTCACTATAGTATAGCATAGTGCTTTAGAACACGTCATATCATATAACGTGGTATCATATGACATCATGTGATACCCTGTGACACACACACACACTGTCAGGCACTATTCGCTGGTATGGAACAAGGCTATTTCCAAGGGTTACCTAGGGCACAAAACATTATTAACGATCATGTTGCGCAATACAATGCAAGATCACATATTGTACGATACCATAAGGTAAAAAGACTCATGGATCATATTATATTCGAGTTTAACACAACGCTGTGCTAGCAATTTTAATAACATATATAAAAACAAAATGCAAAATCATGTGCTATATCACAACATGTAACACTCTAGGAGCTCTCCTATAACAGTATGACATACTAGTTTTAATTAGGGTTTTCGACTCTCGCGCTCAGCGTTCCCCGCCCCGTGTGATTGTTTTTTGCGGGGGCCGACCCGACTCAACGGCCTCCATGCAGCCCGATGCCCTTGAGCCATGAACTGTACAGTTTTCGAGCTCGTCAACCGAACGTCGCCAAAGCGCGCCCTTCCAGGATTCAGAGAGCGATGGCATAAAGGAAGTAAGGCAAAGTCGGAACGACACTGCCAAGACTAGCAGAAAGTAAAGCTAGTGAGGACTGTACTGGCAGAGATACTATAACTAACAGTCACAGCCACAAGACATGACAGAGACTTTTCACGGTAGCCATACAAGCAAGCATAGCGCTAACTTGCAACCCAAGCAAATTTGTTTGAATCATAAGACGGTACTCGTTCTAATAACGTTACAGGTTGCTCCTCGGGCTCATCCCGCTGGCGCTTCTGCCGCCGCTGGCGCTTCGAGCTCAAGCGTTCCCAACGTTGTCGAAGCTCGCGCCTTTATTTTCCGGTCGGGTGCTTCACACGCCAGAACCTACTTGTTTTTGCACGCCTCATCATACCACCGCAAAAAAGCTATGTGCAGTATCGTGCAGTATCTACAGAACATATATATATATATACATACACCCAGATCTCTCTCTTTCTACCTATATATATATATATTCATATGTCTGTATAGTATGACTTTACGTATGCATGCATGCATGCATGCCTACGTATGTATATATATATATATATATGTATGCATGCCTATTTATGTATGTATACATGGATAGGAATATGCATAAACATATCAGAAATCCTGTCACAACACCTCGGAAGCCTAGCTCGCAAGTTTCTGGCAGATTACGTATGGGCTTAGGATAAGGACCAGAAAAGAAGTCCTCTCATGGTCTGGGATTTGGGGTTTGTCGGATGGACCTTATACGGAGTAGCGTCAAAGACCAAGAGTTCAAGGTTTGTACTTGGTTGCTGCAAGAAGCAGGGCTTGATCAGAATCTCCCTGGGGCTCCCAACCGACCAACATAGCACTATCATACGCACTATGTGTAGATTTCAATCCCGCCAAGTAGGTACTGTTCGTATACTTGGAGCCGTCGGATTCAGGCAGGGTTACCTCAGAGATCTGGAGTGTCCAAGACTCCAAGCGTTGATGAAGCTCATGTCGTCCTGGCGGGTAGAACCGAACATGCTCACTACAGCCTGCTTCTCACACTAAGCGGCCTAATGGAGCTATCATCGCAGTGAAGAAAATCCTGAACCCTAAACCCTGCATCCTAAACCCTACGTCCTAAACCCTACTAAACCCGAAACCGCCCCAAGTGTGGGCCACACAGAAGCACCCGAAGCACTTCAGCCCCACAGTGCTGGTGCTCACCAGCTTAGCCCCAAAACAGCCGACGCGAAGTCTTGTTCTCGAAAATTACGTACTACATATTATGCATGATGCTATATATATATATGCTATAGTATATACTATACATATCCCGAAGGTGACAGAAAGTGTGGACTGCTGCTCCTGAACGAAGAAGTTTTTGCTGAGATCTTCAACCCACTTCTTCACCGTGCACTTCGGGACGCCTTCTCCTGTGAACCCTGTACACTTTCAACCTCTAAGACATGAGCCCAATCTCCTCTCTTATAAGGGTTCTGTATTGTGGCATACTGGGCTTCTATGTGTTAACCGAGAATCCACAAAAGCGGATGGGCGCTTCTTATGTAGAGCGTGTGCATAGTCCGGGAGAAGAGTGCAAGCGGACGGCAGCTGTGCGCCCCAAATCCGTTTTTTTGGAACCCATACAACGCTGATCAGGCTCCCAAACCCGAAAGCCTAAACACGTGAACCCTAAAGCCTAAAGCCGAAACCCTTTAAATCTAAAGTCTAAAGCCGAAACCCCATAAGCCCTATAAAGCCTAAGCCCCAAGCCCCGAGTTCGGATGTCCTGAACTCTGGAAGCCCAGAAGTTCTGAAGCCTTGTACCCTTGTCCCTAAACCCCCTGAAGCAGGACTGCGAAAGCCTCGAACTCTGAACCTGGAGCCTCAGGCCCCGAAACCTGGAAAGAAGGTTGGGGCTAAGGAGTTGATGTTTGGAGTTTGGAGTTGTGTGGTGGCGTAAAGGCAGCTTTCCAATGGTTTGCAACCAGGGAAGCCGTTTCCTATGACCCGCATTCTGGACTCCGCTTGGTGGGTTCTGTCTGCCAACTGATGTCAGAACTCGACAAGCCCCAAGCCCCAAACCTACCCTAAACCCCAAAAACCCAAACCCTGCGACCCTCAAAGTCTGACAACCCCTGAGACCCCCTGCCACCGCACACAGCCCTTAACCCTACACCTTTTTCTAATCCGAAACCCTTTAAACCCTACACCTTACGAACCCCCAACCCCTTAAACCAAAAAAACAGACCCTAAACCCTAAAACCTTTGGCCCTAAAGCCCTATAAGCCCTTTTAAAGGGAAACCTATACACCCCTAAGCAGCTTCTATAGCCAGGAAGCTCAAAGCTTCGATGACGCAGCTGCGGACGGTGTAGTCTTTCACCAGCGCGGCCTCGCTTCCGCCGCCTTCTGGTCGCGGTAGGCCACCTCCCCGTCGTTTTATTAAGGTTTAAGAGGGCTTCTAGGGTTTATAGGGCTTAGGGTTTATAGGGCTTAGGGTTTATAGGGTTTAGGGTTTAGGGTTTATAGGGTTTATAGGGTTCAGAGGGTTTAAGAGGGTTTATTTTTCCCACCCGCCCAGCTGACTAGGTGTTTATAGGGTTTAGGGTTTTGGGGGTTAGGGCTTTAGGGGTTCAGGGTCTAGGGGTTTAGGGGTTTCAGGTTTAGGGCTTATTAAGGGCCAAAGCTGGGCACCTGGTGGGGACACCATTCGGGTGATGGGGGGCATAGGGACTTTATCTTTTGTACCCTACTCTTACATCCTAAACCCTTCAGAAACTTCAGAATTCTAAACCCTACCAAAACCCTAAACCCTAATTCCTAATCCCTACACCCCAAACCCAAAACCCTAAATCCTAAACAGAAGCCCTGAGCAAATCCGAGGTGGACCGGCGCCTGGCGGCTCCGCTTTCGGCGAGGAGGCGCTGCTCGCCATGGCTTTTGCAAGGCCCTGAGGGGTTCCTTGAGGGTTCTATGAGGCTTCCTGTCTTTGGGGGATTCCTTTCCGTCATCTCTGCATACGCCCTAAAGGTTCTAAAGCACCCAATAACCCAATTCCAACTTCCAAATTACAGCTCAGAAGAAATTCATCAATGGTGGCCGCCCATTAAGTGAATCTGGAATAGCATTGACACATGCAAGCGCTTTCCTGCTTACTCTTTTGGCTTACTGTTGAAGCCAGTACTGTTGAATGCTAATGGCAAACACTTCTAAACCTCCATGGCTACAAAGAGAACCAGGCCACATCATGCAACAAAGCCTCGATCACATGAGGTGTGGGCAATGGGCCTGGGCCTATTTTCGCCGCGATGTGGCGGCATATTCTTCCGCTGGTATGCTGATTGCCATCAGCAGCAAGAACCAAAGAACCACTGCTGATGTCCGTTCTATGCCCTTTGACTCGTAAGCCAAGCTCCTGCACATCTACCCCGAATGCCAGATGGGTTCGCCATTATATATTTATACATATATATCTATCTATATAGATCCAAACCAAATTAAGAGAATGATCTCCATGCCTTAGGCGTTGTAGGCAGCGCCAGCTTCTGTGAATCAGCATCTTTCGTATCTATAGGAAACCATATCAAACCTATCACATACCCCGGTGTGCTGCAATGGAAGCCATAGCAATTCTCCTCAAATTCAAACCGCACACGGAAGGGGTATGTGGTTTTGCACATTTGCATCTGGCGAGCAAGCTTTTCCTTTGCAAAGAACAAGTTCATATCTCCGTTGATCATACATGCCGTGCTTGGAAACCCAAGCTAGAATCAGCTAGAAAACAGTGCAGTTTGCTCGCGCTCCTAGCCACCACCGCTCTCTGTTCCCCTGCCACGTAAGCAGCCGAAGCGCATGGAGCACCTCCACAGGGCTGGTCCCAAGCTGCAAAAGGCCGAGTCGCGAGAGATTCCGGAAATGGCGTGCTAACATCTGCGAATTAAGGGGTGTTTTACCCTGAGGTGCAGACCCGGCTGTCCCAGAACTGAATCGGAATACAAGCTTCCAGGAGGATTTCGCTTAAAGATCGTGAGAAGCCGGTCGGTCGTGTCCCCGCAGGCTCTAAACCGATTCAACAAGTGAATTACTGCAACCAGCATCATTAGTACCACAGCCCATGCCCTGACGTAATCTAGGGACCTGAACGCTTACAATAGAGCTTTCGGGAAGATCAATAGCCATTCAAAGCTCTAGAATACCGGTCGTGCTGACCTGCCGCACTGAACGACCAAGAACCCTAAACCCCAAACCCTAAACATCCAGGACGAAAGGGAAAGCACCCCGACTTGGCAAAGCAAAGGCCGCGAAACACGCCCAGGGCCGCAACTGCACCGTTGCCAACAAAGCCGAAAGGCTTAAGAAAGGGTTTAGGGTTTAGGGTTTAAGGAAGCATCGACTGCTATGGTGTAGTCCTTAACCTGTACTCTTCTGAAGACTAGACAATCCACTTTGGGGTTTACGGTGCTGCTAGATGCTGTGCGTCGTTTGTGCTCCATCATCGAGCTGCTCGTCTACATCTTCTCTAGCATCACAACGACGCCGCTCCCGATAGTCACCATCACTCTGGTGCGATGGTCAGCCCGTATCAACCCCGCACATCAAGTAAGCATTGGAAGTGCACAGAGCAAGAACCACTCTTGGCAATCTGGGTGGGTGGTTCACTGGTTCCCTGTTTGGGCCATGTTAAAAATACTAGTGTTTAATCCTTATTAGGGTTTCAGTATAACAAAAACGTAAAATTGTATCCAACAAGGACCCAGCTCAGTCCGCAGGATTCACCAAATCGCTTCTGCGTTTTTACAGGCATTTGATTTGCATGGTTTGATCAGGGAAGCAGGCTTTGAACTGTTCCTTGGCACTCGCACTCAGTGTCAGGCAGGTGCAGCCTGCTAGGGTTTGGGGCTTCCAATTGTGATCTGGGCCTACATGTAGGTGCTTTGCACTCGGAGACATTGCGAGGATTGTTGTGACGGTGCTCGCCCTTGCGCCCATCCCGGAGCAGGTCAAACTTGAGTTTCACAGGGTTTCCCCAACCCGCCAGTCGGATGAAAGCGTGACGCGCGTTTCGCAGCATAGCTCCTGCCCTGGAGTAGGTCACCTTCGTGGGTTCACAGGGTCTCCCCGACCATCTTCACAGGGAAAGAGGCTACGTGCTATGCTGTACAACAGACGTGGTCCTCGCCACAGCGATGAACGTCACTTCGGGGAAAGCGCGTGCTAAACGTGCTAAAACAGGCCGGGCAGAAAGCGTGCATCAAGATGCTTAGCTACAGGTATAGGCTTGATGACGGCCTACGATCAACTCTGAGAGATATCTTGTGAAGCCCAACAATAACGGTTGTTAACCCCCATAAAGAACAGATAGGAACACCTATGACCAAAACGCAGTAACCCATCTAAAGGCCAATGCCATACGTGGTTACGCAAAACTCTTTACGTAAACAAGCCCGATCAAAAAACCGGAACAAAGCCCTCAACACGGGGGGTCGATGCCCATATCCCTTGCCATGCACTTCAGGCTTTGGGGCAATAGACATGCTGCAATAAGTAGAATATTTTTTCTGATACATTGCAGGAACCTGAAGGCATAGTGTGATAGCAAGGATTCAGGAGTCGACAACTACTGGGTCTTCGGGCTCCAGGGAAAAGGGCCTGGGGACTCGCAGACTCGGACAGCTCCCGGATTTCGTGCTTGGGGCCTTGGGGCTCGATGATGCTTGGATATTCTTGGTTCAGGGTTTAGGGTTTAAGGCTCTTTTTTGCCTCCCACCTTGCTAGAAGGTTTAGGGTTTAGGGGTTTAGGGGCTCTTGGGGTTTCGGAGACTGTTGGGTCTGGGAGTTGAACCACCATTATCAGTCGTTTACTATCCTGCGACTGTTCTTGAAAGTATGCTAACTGCGAACAAACATAAAACAGCATCAGACTTGGACCTGCATCTTGTACGGTTTGTTTCCATTTCTCTTTCAGACGCCTTCCGGTCCGGCTGCCAGTCAAGCTCACACCTTCTCACAGCCGTCGGGCCCTCAACGGGCAAATTGAGCCTTTGAGCAGCATTCGCGAGTTTACACTAACCTAAGTTTCCATTAAAGGCTTTAGTTGTCTTTCCTCGTGGCAAGCAGCAAGCACTTTATGGGCTTACCCTGTCTCAGAATTTGTTCATGATCCTATCCTGCCCGCCCGAACGCACCCACGTCCTTTGCAGCGGGCTCGTGGTCCCTGCAACCTACTCTTCGTGTACGATTGGACTGACCAATGGTACTCCAAAACCAGAAGCCGAAACATTGACAATCAAATACTAAGCCCTTCAAACCCAAACCCTGAACACTGTAGTAAAACCTCTTGCAACGCTCAATGCCTCGCCTCATATATACCCCTGCAACCAGCAGATTGCAAACAGGCTTGTCCAAGAAGCTTCACATGCCGACGATATCCAGCTCCTTGTTGCAGAATGAGCACATGCCAGTCCGGGAGTTGTACTCCACGCTGCGGCAAGATGAACATTGGCCGGCCGTGGAAGAAGTCGACGGGATGTGCGGTCCGAGCTTCGGCTCCTACTATGTACGGCGTGGGGCTTGCGGCTTGAGACTTTCTAGGCTTACAGCAGGATTTAGGGCTTAGGGTTAGGGTTTGGGGTTTAGGGCTTACAGTTAGGGCTTGCGCGAAGTTCATGAACCCGGCAATCCTACTCTCACCGCCATGAACCACGACACCTTGGTGCTGGAAGCCTCGTCCCTGAACCGCAACCATTACTAAGCAGGCCCTGACCGGACGAAACACAGCACAAATTCCGTATAATATAATATGACCTAACAAAATAATATACGGTAATATAGTATTATTATAACAGAATATTATAAGATGGGTTACAGACCAAAAATCTCGATCCGCCTCTAAGAGCTCCCTGATCTGCTCACGCGCGTTGATGTGGGGTCCCATCTCGTCCCTTGGCAGATCGCAAGAATTTCCTTCCAAAGCTCGGGCTATGGTAGGATTTACTGCGTCATTCCAAAACTTAAGCATGTGCTCCAAGCAAAGCTTTACAGATTCAGGGTCAAGCCTTCCAGATTCCGGAAAGTGGGTGGACCTGGGTTGAAGCCTGAAAGGTGTTGAAGAGCTCTTGGGTATTCTTGTGGCCTGGTCATCTCATCCTGCTCTAGACTCTAAGCAGCCCGAGTGCAAACTCGTTGCAGTGCATTCGCGAAAACACACTAGAGGCAGAATTCACATCCGAATAAGCAAGTGCGTGGCTGGCATGTAAACAATACCAGTATCACATGTGGTGCCGACAGACTTCGCATAGAAGATTCGCTACAAATCATGCCAAATCAAGACAACACGCAGCAACCTAGAGACGGGCAAAACTGTCGAAGATTGAAATTCGTGGTTAAAACCTTGCGAACGAATAAAAATAGAAACAGGCTTATCGCATTTTCGTAAAAAGATCTGAGCAGGCATTAGTACTGTCGGGAGCGGGGGAACTGGTGGCGAAGGTGTGAAAACTTTTGCAAGAATGAAACAGGACGAGTCAATAAGATTTTACCGGTATCCTGCCACAAGTCCAATCATGTCTACTCGGGTTTAATCAGCTGCAACCAGATTTACAAAGATTCCAAACGATTTTTGCAAGCCATGCCTCAATTGTAGTCACGTCATCTAAGATTCAATAATAAGATTTTCACTAGCGGCGCACCGGATTTTGCAAGTGCAAACGAGATTCAACCAATAACGCTGCAATGGCACTTTACCGGGCCCAGTGTCACATACATAAGCGGTCCAAAACCCTTGAGGCTTTCAGCCCTGAGGTTTAACGCCCTGCGGTTCTAGAGCGGCTTAGGTAGCGCGACCAACGAACACAGATGGGGACAAAGAAAGACAAATCAAGACACGGGGGGACAAACGATGCCCAACAAATGTGATGAAATAAGATTTGGTGTCTTCCAGCTACAATCCCTGAGATCTGAAGCCCTATGGTTAGAGACCGCCACCAGCCCGTGTTTTAGGGGTGGCAGTAGTAGCAGCAGAAGCAGCCACAGCAACAGCAGCAGCAGCAGTCCAAGCAGTCACAGCAGAGGCAGGCAGCAGTCGTAGCGGTTGCAGCAGCAGTACAGTAGCAGTTGACCTTGAAGTGGCAATCGCAGTCGCAGCCGCAGCCGCGGTGGCAGTAGCAGAAGTAGTAGCTGTAGCAGCGGAAGTAGCAGCACCAGTCGCAATCGCTACTGGAAAGGTCGCTGTAGCAGTAGCTGTAACAGTAGCGGTCGCAGTAGCAGTAGTAGTAG